CATTTATCTCTCTCTCTCTCTCTCTCTCTCTCTTCCTATTCATTATCGAATTGAGATAAATAATTCTCATGCTCCTAATTAAAGAAGAAAGTGATTTTCAAATGCGTAATGTAAAAAAAAAAAAAAAGAAAAACAATAAATAAATGCTGTTTTTGCTAGTTATAAAACGACCCAAAAGTCAGTTAACGTCGTAAAGAATAAAAACTTCCGCCCCGTCCGAAATAATTTATTACGGAATTTCTTCGCTCTAGTCACGAATTTATGTGGGACACGCGGGCCAAACACGGTCAACTGACTTTTGGTCCTGCCTGTATTTTAAACCCCGTATGCGCGTGGCATCGTTTTATTCCAGATCGTGCATCCCAATTTTTTTTTTCTTTTTTAATAAAAATAAACTTTTGCGTTATTCTAAGTATGTCATTTCTCGCCAATGTTTAAATAATGCTAGAGCATTTCGAGTTAAGTAAGTAAAGCATTTTTGAAACCACAAAACTAAATAAACTATTTGGGATATTTTTAAAAATTTTTCAAGCGAAAACCATTTTCGAAGAGTCGTCAATACGAAAAAATCGATTACAGTAATGTAATTTCTTTTTTTTTGTGTGTGTGTGTTTTCTCCCTCCCTTCTTCTGAGAGAGTGAATCAGCGAGATGTACATCAGATTTACAATACGTTTTTCATTAAATAATAATAATAATAATAATATAGAGAAGAAGGAGGGAGATTATGTCTGGTATCGCAAACTTGTAAGGGGGAAAACTAATCGATCAGTCGGGGTGTGGGTCTAGTCGTTAGTCTACCGTTGACGTCTGAGCTACCGAAAATTATAGTGCCCACGTGCCGACTCTTTCCTAATAATAAGTTAAGGAGGAGAACCGAATCTAGAATTTTCACGGAATATTAACAACATTATAACGCTAATTAAAAGAATAACAACAACAACAAAAAGATTGAAAATTATATAAGAAAAGAAAAATGGAGGAGAGGAAGAAGAAGATGATTCATTTTTTTTTTTGTTTTCGTACTTCAATGAGTGTTTCTATAGTTAACTTTTTTAACAATTCCCATTATTTTTGTCTTCTGTATCTTACTAGATTCGTGAGATTTCATGATGACAACACTGCGTACTCTAGAATCCCGGCAGTTGACATTGTACGTGGAATGTCAAGTCTCTCTCTCTCTCTCTCTCTCTCTCTCCGAAAGGGGCATTAACCTGAACTCTGCTTGAACCAAAAATTACAGCTGTGTTGATTACCTAATTCTAGCTAGGTAATACTCTATCGTTGCTGTCTTTGATTATTATTTAAGTAGCAAATATTAAGCAATAAATCAATTCGAAGCGATATTTATCGCCTGCGACTTTGTCGTCGACGGTACGGACTAACATTTCCATTTATTTATTTATTCCTGTCTATATATATATATATATATAATACATTAATTAATCAAGGTGGTTAACGTGTACGAAACACAGTCGGCGTAACGGGCAATTGAAGAGGACAAAAATCGGCAGGAGGTAGGTCCTACCTTTAGATAAAAGCTAAAAGGGGCCTTGCCTAAACGTTACACTAGAGATTTAGAAAGGAATAACTTCTTTAAAAGTTGTAAATTGGTTACTTTTGTCGTGCCATTCTTCCCTTTCGCTCAATTAATTCCGGTATTTTTCAAACGAATTTCTACTTTTAACCTCGTGTGAAATCCACTAGATATTTAATTAGAAGCGCGTGAGATAAGTAATTAAAACTAAGTTTTTAAACGATATAAAAAGCTTACTTTAACTGATAACTCCTACGCTAATCGAGATATGTATCAACGTGTAATTTCACACATAAATAATACGATAAATAATTATATAAATAGATCGTTTCCATCAACGTTTCGATATCACTTTCTTGTTTTATCACTTTCCTTCGAAATGTTTTTTTTTTTTTATGCCAAAACTTAATTTGAATCTCCTGTCAACTTGTACAGAAACACTATTTTATACCTTTCAATTTATAAAGTATCGAGTTTTAAAACTGTTTATGCGATTGTGATGAAGTATTATTTATATTATCTGAGTCGAAATTTATTTATATTTTGTTTGTATCGCTGCAAACTTAAAAAAACAATTGGAAATTTTTGCATAATTTAATACTCAACTTCGATCAGAGGGGGTAACAGCAGGGCATCAAATTATGCAAAAATCTTGCAATATTTTAGATATAGGAGCCATATCTTGGCATGCATTTGGCAATACAGGACCCCCGAAATTTAGCCTCTTACGATATAAGAATAAAAAAATTGAAATTTCTATTGTTTTGTCGATTTTTTATGGCTTTCGGAAAGGATTGGAACCGAAATTTTTCACTTATTTTTTAGTTCTCTCGGTCCCTGTTCGTTTGTATTATATTCCTTAGAATTAGCATTATTAACAAATCTACAGTTCACTTTATTATATAATATATTATTTATGTAGTACGAAAGAAGGTTTTATTTGTGTGATGGATTTTACATACTCGAAATTGTCAACACCGAAAACTGTTTAAAAGCGATAGATCGACCGCTAATACAGGTGTGCTGTTATGTGTGTGTGAATCTAAGTGCCGACGTGTGTGTGTGTGTACGCGTGAACCATTGATTATTCCCTCGTGCTTTGTTTAGAATAAAAGAGAGAGCTACCCACAAAGTTAAATCTGTCAGAGGAGGTGTTTCCTTTCGCAGGTGTTCACAGATAGAACTTATTACTTTATTGCTGTTAATTAAAATCTCATTCTATTCAAATAGCACCTAAACAGCCTTTAACGAGTTCTGAGAGATTTATTATTAAAAAGGAAAGAAACAAGAGAGTGGAAGCTATGCAGTGTGCTTCAAGTATCCTTGTACAGACTTGGAGGTGACGTCATTTATATTTCACTGATCTAACTTCAAAGAATCCCGACTTTGCATATCGTTTGAGAAATTATATCTCGTGCGAAGAAAACAAGAGTGAATTGTAGAGTGGAAAATTCATTTCGGGGGATACTTTTCTTTTTGCAATAACGATTTTGCACCTACAGTAAACATGGAAGACGTAGTAAATACACCGGGGTCGTATGTCTCGTAAGTGTGACGTAAGTACACGATACACGTACGTCAGAAGAGTAAGGGGGAGGGGTTTATTTTGTGTTTACTCGAAATTGTTTTCGATCCATCGATGACGTAGGAGAATTTCTCTAAAACCGTTTCACCTTGATCGTTGGGTACTTCGGACAATCATTCCTTGTTTATATTCAAAAAATGGCCTTTTGTGCATTAGTAGTTTCGTAAAAATATTCCGTTTTTCAGATTGTGTTAATATCAATATTGTGTAATATTTCTCACAATGACGTCATTTCGAATTGTGCCTTGTTTTGACATTAATAAGCTCCCCTCTGTTTAACTTAATGATTTTTAATACTAGAGAGACTAATACCCCATGGGGACGTGCACTGCGATGAGTCACTTAAACCTGACCTTCATTAAGTCGAATTATGGATAACCTAATTTTCTTCATTACATCCTAAATTTCCTCGTAGAATATTAAAAAAAATTGATTAAAAACCCGAAAAGAAATTATTATTATATACAAAAAAGCTTCCCTTCTAAGCTGGAACCTTTACAAGAGTACCCTAAGAAGATTCTATAATATAGATGAGTGTAAACTTCACGTGTTTTTTTTTTTAAATTTCTTATATGCAACGAGTTATGTATTAACTCTGAAAAAAAAGGAAAAAAATAAATAAATAGACCAATGGAGGAGATTATGTTACAACAGATAATGTTTATCTGAAGGATGAAGAAAAGATGAATGAGGTGTGCGATGGGAAGGCGCCAGTGGACATGCAAGTGTGTTGATCCGTTAGACTATTGGCACGTGGCACGAAATAAGCCTCGGGCCAACCTCCGTTTATAAAGTACATTAATGGAATCAAATCGGATTTGTAAAAAAACAAGAGAAGTTTGAGCCGAAATGACCCTTCCTACGCGTTGAAGATCTACTGAATTATAATAAATTCGGTCTGTGTCAGGTATTTTTATAACAGGTTGACAAAATCATTCAGTTACAGTCAGATCAAAAGTCACATCGACCCCCTGCACGTTCTACCCACTTGGATAGTCCTACCTACACTCGGGTGACGTACGATATACGGCATAATATAACTTAGAATTAAAAACGAGTCACGTCAGGTCATATCCTATATAAGCAACTTCGCAGGAAGGATGATAAAAAAGTATAGTCTATTTATATATATATTTTGGTCTTTATTTATTTATTGGTATTAAAATCCTTGTATTATAAACAGTAGAGTTTTTTTTTTTTTCTTCTTCTTCTTCTCCTGCCTAAATTTCTGAAGGCTTCCTGTAAATAAATACGCTGGTGTGTCGGTTCCACACTCTCTCTTACATAATAATACCCGGAATGGATGGAGTGGATTATTTTTACTTTATGCTTTCACCTGTAACTACATTCCCACCGTGCAGCAAGGGTGCGGTAAAGTGCCCTTCGCGCATTTGCACTCAACATGAGAATGAAAGGGGAAAAACCTGCCCTAATATTGCTGGAGAACGGGTTTTCGGCAATCCTCAGACAAGCTACGTCTCCCTCCGCATCTGTAGATGGCGACGTCTGGCCGGCAACAGCGACATCTAACGGATAATACTCCCATCTGCGAACTGCAACACTCTTAAGGATGCAGATGCTCGGGTTAACCATTAACTATCGGGCGCCTTGGCGTGCCAAAACCACGAAATAATCGAATGGCGGAGCGGCACCTTACCCAATCGACTGTACCGCTTTATAATCCCGACAGGTGGCGCGGTGGCGACGGAGATGCGCACGTCCCGTCTTCGCCAGTTTCGGGCTCGCCGCGCCCGTCGGGTCAAAGGTGGCGCAAGATGGAGCGGGTGTGGTGTAGGTACTTTGACCTCCTGGCCATCGGGATCTTACGCGCTAGCTACGATCTCGACTCCGCAGCCATTGGTTAATACGCACGTGACGTCATCGGCTTTTACTAGGATATTTGTAGATATCCCACACGTGCGTCTTTTCCTATCGCCTAAGGAACGCTGTAGGGTAAACTACAATATTTGCCGACTTTCCACCTGCACCCGGTGACCTGCGGGGTGTGGCCTGTGCACGTGCATTGCCGACTATTTAAGGATGTGACACATTGCCAACCTCACTTACAGCAGCCGACCCTCTCTACTGACCGCACGAGGCGCTGTCTCGCCTCTCTCAACCATACACACCCCTCGTGTTGATAGTGTAGCGATGCTCGCCACTTGGAAGCTGACTTTATATTGTTTCTGTGTCCTGATAGTAGCTGCCAGGAGTCGGGATGCAGCTAGGAACAGGGGGAAGCCTCCCCTCATCGAGGAACCCAGCAAGAAAAGTAAAAATCGACCGACACGTAAGTAAATCCAATCTTATCCCTAATTTTTTTTTTTAATTCGCCAAAAAATCCAACGGCCCGTCTTTTTAAACATATGGTGTAAAATTTCGAATTATCCGAATATTTTCCTCTAGTAACGTGACCGAAAAATGACTTTTACGAATATTCCGTCGTAATATTACGGAAATTCAATCGGTGTCTATCGCGTTGCATCCTTTCTCAACGTTAGATCGTATGTCGTCGACCATTTATCGGTTATCGCGGCAAAGAGTGTCAAGGGATATGGAATACACCCTCTTAGTTTTTATAAACACTTGGAGATCCGGTATTTATCTAGTTGCGACCTTGCTTGACTCGCTTAATGCTGTAAACATCGGAAATCAGCACAATTCTTTTTCCCCCTCAATGTTATCTCCTTACATTGATTAATATTGTTGCTATTACGGGATGCCAGTTTAGAATACGCTCTATCTTTCTCGATTACAGATTAAATCAACCCTCCCCCCCACGTAACAATCGACATTTTAAACTTATTCCTTTTTATAATTCTTTTTTTTTTTTTAATCTAGAAGGGCATTTGGAGTGTTTGATTTACGCTTAGCTTGGCTAATAAATTTCGGGAGACGTCACTCTTGCTAGCTTATCGAGTTAATTTGTTCTATATTAGACACGTGGAAGCGTAAACACCGAATAAGTCGTGATTATATAAATCTGAAATGATGAATCGACTGAATTTTTATGAAAATTTTAACTGGCATATAATTATTATTTTATTTATTTATCTAGACAGGCGCGGCTATCGGGGGCTTAGAGGGTTAAAGAACCCCAAAAGAGATGACACTTAGGCTGTTTGAAAACATAAAACACACCCTGATATATTATTTATACGGCCTTCTTTCTCCTCCTTGTGCTATTGTAGTGTATTTTATCTGGATATTTTCCGAGGTCGCAACTCGTTACTATGTAACTTATTGTTCCTGATTGAACTGGAAAGTTTGTAATTAAAGAATGAATTCTTTTAAAAAAGTAATACTTAACTAAAGTATTATTTTAATTAAGAACGAACGGGGGGAGGGGGGGCATTTTCTAGTTTGTAATTCGTCAATCGAAACGTTTCGATAAATCAAAACAACTCTCTATAAATCAAATATTGCTACGTTTAATTTTAAAGAATTTTAATTTAAATATTAAATTTATCCAGACATTATGAATAATTAATGTGCGAATAATTATATAATTAACATTTCGTAGCTTAATAAAATATTTATGTAGAGATTTTTATGGAACGTATTGATAATTTACATATAAGAATAAATTATATGGGACATACTAAAAAAGTAAACAGTTGTAGAGCCCATTGTTGTCTTTTTAATCCGATGGTTTTACCATAAACAGTAAATTAGAGCAAATGTTCGATATAACAAAAGCTTAATGAAGTGGAAGAAAGAATATATGTATTATTTTTTTTTTTTGGTTAATAAATTGGAATAAGAGGAAGTTATTAGTGGGCGAACCTCACGCTTGTTTTACTACTCCACTGACCCAAACCCGAAATATAATAAGAATAAATGATAATAGATGGCGCAATGCGTAATGGGGTAGTAAACAAAAATTCCATATCGTTTTCAAATACCAATGTGATGTAATTGTAATTATCCACCTGCTATCGGTAGACGTATCATAATAATAATAACCAGTTGACTGTAACATTCGATATTCCTGAGAGTTGTTGGCAGCACATGACACCATGGGAGACACCTATGTCATTACGTCATTACTCGAGTCACTAGTGACGTGGAGACAGTACGTCACTGACCCACCTCCCAACTGACATTGACATAGGTTTACTATTCCTCCAGATATAATTTCGTTTGACATTCGAGAAGATGCAATTAGTCGACAGATTTTTCCCTTCCGTTCTATCGAGTACGCGCAGATTAATCGAGAAACGGAGAAGAAAGTTATTTTGTATATCTTTTTTTTCTACCCCCCCCCTTTCCTTCTTCTTTTTTTTTCTCTCTCTCTCTTTCTCGTGTGGTTAAGATCTCGAAAAAGGTCAGTAACCTAATATGACCCAAAACGCAAACTAGTTTTCGCCCCCAAACCGATAACTTCGGGGTTTATTTTCGAGATGAGAAGAAAAAGTATGGTTTTAGCATTTTGCGTCGGGGGGGGCGAACTTTTTTCTTCTTCTTTTTTTATTTTTTAGCCAATATCATTCGATCGAAAGACGTTACGCAACCGTCTGGGACTTCCTCTTAAAAAGCCAATGGTGACTTTTACAAATGGGGTGTTGGACGATGACTTTTTCGGTTAAAAGCTAAAAATGCCCGTTACGCGCGAGTATTCGAAAAGGGGGGGAGGAGGAGGAGAAGGAGGGTGAACGAAGCTTTTAAAGGTTAGGAAAATCCTAATAAGGACGATAGTAAATTATTATCCCAGACAGAAAAAAATCACAAGATCAAGGTTGGCTTCGGAGAGGTGCGAAAGTTTTTCCAAAAAAATTAAAAAACAAAAGTTGTACGTATCGTCCGAGACGTTAAATTGGCAGAGAGCCAAAACCGTAGTTTGATTTTTATGACTTTAAGCTTCGTGATGTGACGGATGAACGTGATAAGAATAAGGTAAGGTTACAAACTATACCTCCCCTCTCACAGTGTATTTTATATAATGCCGGAGACTATTCTTTTCAATAGACTCTATTGTAATAACACCGGTTGGCATGACGTCATCTGATGAGGGCGATAAATTCCAAGGTTGGACATATCACGTGTATATATCACGTCACTATCGTGACTGTACACAAGAGTTTCGGAAACTCAATCCTTCCACTCCAACCCCATCGAAACACTCGAGTATTTCTGCACCTCTTGAACTAACCATTCGAAGGTTGCACATGTTCTCATATGCACAGTGTGACGTAAAAATTGTTTTCTTTATTACTATTATTATTATTATTTATTTTCAAATTAAAATAATTAACTCGCTAACGTATAAAGATTTTTTTTCTTTTAAAAGAGGACAAAATTCTAAGAATTCGACACCTAGACTAAAGTGTATAAAAAAAAAAAAAATTGGGCGCGACTGCACATGAAAGCACGTTACATACTTTTATCGTGGAAGACGTGATAAAGCCATTCTACTTTCACAACTGGGAATTAGCAAGAGACGGTGACTTCATCATCCCTCCGGGTGCACCTTGCAAGTCATCAATTACCTAGCTCAAGGCTATCACATAAAGCACCAAAAAGGTGTAGCGGGGTTAGATGACTCAGCTTCTGCTCCTTCGTCTCCTCAGCCATCACCAGATATGACGTCATTTCTGGTCACCTGTACATCTCGTTACTCGGGTCAGTTGCCTTGGATGCATTTGACCCAGTTAGCAACCCGTAGCATGAAATATAGCCGAAAATTAAAATAAAACCGTACAGATTCTATATGTAAATATTTCGCAATTGTTTACAATTTTTTTGTGTGTGTGCGCGCGCGAGTGTGTGTGTGTGTGTTATTTCAAGTGTCACATTGAATAATCGGATAACGAGTGTTTTAACACGTTTCATTTACACCATCGAATTCGCAAAATAACGTCGTTTCCCAAACACCAGTAGGGATGATGTTTTATGAGGTCAAGGAGTTAGTGTTTTTTTTTTTTTTTGCACGGTAGCGTATTTTTAATTTTAAAAAATTCACGGAACCAATTTAAAAGGACAAATTCATTTCCTACATTCGTTTGGTTTCTCTTTAGAAAAATCAATTTCTCTATCTAATTTTAAGCGAAATAAATTTTCCCTTCTAATACATAATTTTTATTATTATTATTTTAAATGTGTCTATAATAAGTAACTTTAAAATTAGCGCCCGAAGAGTGTAATTTCTAAGCTAAAAATTCCTTTTAAACACTATACAAAAAAAAAATACTGCATGTTTATTCCAGGAAAAAAATAAATATTATAGAAATTTTTTTTCTAATTTTCCTCCTCCAGAAATTTTTGTATTTTAGGAAGTAATTTTTGTTTTCTATCCCCCTACTTAAAATGCATTCCGTCCCCATTTACCCGGGATATTTCTTCTCGCCGTTTAGGGAAATTTCCCCGTTTTTTTTTTTTTTTTTTTTTTTGCATTTCNAACCAATTTTTTTTTTTTTTTTTTTTTTGGTAAAGAACATCGGAATTTTCAGTAGACATTCTTTAAATGTTTCAACACACATTATTAACGTCGGTCGTTTTTAAGACTCCAAGTTTTCCATTCATTTATATCAATTAGAGAGCAGGCTGCAATTTCATTTATTTTATTTTATTTTTTTAAATATCGGAGACCATCTTGTATCAGAAAAGAGTTGTCTTCGTTTCTGCGGTAATTATCTACAACAAGTTTTGCGTGAGGAACGATATCTGAGGCCGGCAGCCCCATTCAGTCGTACGACTAAGTATATTTAAGTTGTTCCTAGTCTAGTCGGCGCCAGTCTTCAGTTATTTAGCCACAAGATCCTTGGTGGCGTCTCCCAAACAGGAAAATGGGGGCGCGTATAGTAAAAAGGACCGCCCGGGGGTAGAATATAAAATTAAATTTACATACATATATATATATTTGTATGAATATAAATATATATAAATTAAGAATGCTCTCTCTATATAGATATTTGGCAAGTTTTTCATCTTGTTTTTAAAATCGTAAACTACTACTAACTGAAGATATTAACTCGATTTTACGATTGTTCTAACTACTATCCAATTGATAGTTCTGCCACTCAATGTTATTAACTGGGGGAGGGGGGAAAAGAAACCCCTTTCTAAGTGATAAGGATAACGAGCGATTCGGATTTCTTTAAAAGTCGTAAGGGGAGAATATTGTATTTTTATTTTTAAATGATGCACGGACTAATAGAAAACGATAGGGAACAAGTGGAACGAACGTCGTCGAGTGCTGGAAAACTAAATTTAAAATAGAATATTAGAACCGAAATAGCAGAATGTATACATTTATTGGATTTGTTTGCTTTGGTTTCCTCGTATAGATTT